GCCAACAATTGTTGTCGTTGTGAATACATATAATATATGCCATTGTACGTATTCACAATGACAACAATTGTTGGCTACTTCACAACATTCGTTGGAATGTAAGCATTTACAACACGGTGTTGTCAAAATCATAACCTTAGTTTTGTCAGTGCATTACTCTCTATCGTTGCCTATGCACTGAATGGCTGACTTGACATGAGTTAAGATGCATCTAACTCGATGGAGTTACAAAGAGATAAATTCAAACAGTTGAAACTTTTTCGGTACGAAAATTGATAAAATAGAAAAATAATTGGTTCTATCAATTGCCATCATTTCTCTCTCGTACCTCCATCTATTATTCGTGCTCGTTAGGAAACTTAGTCACCGACATAAGGCGAAATGTGTTTTTAGACACTGGAAAAACATATTCATCTTCGAAAATAATAATGTCTTAGTGGGGGGGGGGGGGGGGAGGGGCGAAATATAATCGAAAAGCGTATCAGATTTTTTGCTTTCGCTAAACACCATAGAACCAAATAACATGCTGTGTCGCATCATTTGAATGATTCCAAAATGAAACATGTTGATGTATTCATAGTTCACGCGGAAATTGTTTTCGCCACAGATGCATTTCGGTTGAATGCACGGCAACAGTTTTCCATCGACAACAGTTGTGCTCCGGAGTTTTGAAGCATTAATTTTTTTTGGATAGAAAGTGTACTTCGTTTTTCATTACATTGCATCATTAGTCTACGAATGTGGATTAAATTAACATCGCTGTTGAATACAAAACATTGCTGTTGAAATGTGAATTTTGAACGCCGTTACATTAAACAAAAATGAAGATTAAATGACATTCATAAAAAAGCGATCGTTAGCGTTTATGAGTCAGTCAGTATTTGTTTTTGATTCAAATGTTTATTTTTCTCATCGCCTAATACACGTTATACATATTTTTACGTGTACGATCAACACAATTTGCCCATAAAGTATAAATGATACTGATATAATTTATGATTGCAAAAATACGATTTACTTAAGTATGTCAACGAATGTCAATTTTTGAGTCTTTTCCACTTTTTCATCTTCATTTCTAATGCTTCTTGCGCGTTGATAATAAATAAATGTACATCGAATAAAAAAAATCACCATTCATTTTGAGACGACAAATATGTTGATGTTTTTCATTCTTTTCTAAAGATTCGTTTTTGTGATGACTCCCACGATGTAAAATAACATCTAACATCTCACTTCCATATAATTAAACTCATAAGTCACATTCAATACTTCAATCAAAGTCTGAATGAAACCAATCATCCATTTTAAAAGGTTACGTTTATTTTGAGTGTTTTTTTATTGCAAATTTATTCTGTTTTGTCTGTAAATATGGACATCGCTGAGCATTGATCTGAATTTATGGTTTTGAAAAATCAACATTTTGTACTTGACACAACATTTTTCTAGTTCAATTCACTTTGCTTTGTGTCTTGCCTGGAAAATTGTTCACGTGAAGGCATTGAACCTGAAAATAATCGCATTCGCTTTGCAGAAATCACATTTTAAATGACAGTCGACACAACTGTTATTTTTCAAAGTAATTTTGATTTATATACAGCTTCCGGAGTAAGTTATATTGATGTTATCAAAAATTAACGCTTCTCAGCCATTAACAAATGACAAAAATGTGAAAAACTATTTATTGGGTGTGCCAATTAATTTTAAAGGATTGATAAGAGATGTCATAACTTTCACTGTAACGCATCGGACCATACCATAACCATATTCACGTGAAAGTCACGTCATTCGACACTAGTTTTCAAGATGTTTTATTTTGTCAAAGTGTAAACAACATATTTTTTTTCGCTTAAAATCATGTCAGCCTACGTACCAAAAAAAACAGCATTTGCGGGAAGTTTTAAAAGTTTTTAAAAGTGGTAATTTCCACGTGGAAGACAAAGAACGGCCAGGTCAGCCAAAAAAGTTTGAAGATGCAGATTTGCAAGGATTACTCGATGAAAATGCATGTCGAACGCAAGAAGAACTTGCAATGGAGTTGAATGTCGATCGAAGAACCATTTCTGTGCATTTGAATGCAATGGGAAAGATTCGAAATTTGGGAAAATGGGTACCACATCAACTGAATGAAAATCAATTGAGAGCACGAATCACAGCATGCAAACAACATCTTGCCGAGCACAAAAACATAGTTTTTTGAGTCGAATTGTTACTGGCGATGAAAAGTGGGTCTATTACGATAACCCAAAACGTAAAGGAGCTCATGTTGATCCAGGCCAACTAGGACCATCGTAGCCAAAACGAGACATTCATTGCCAGAAGGTCATGCTGTGCATTTGGTGGGATCAGAAAGGTATCGTGTATTATGAGCTGCTAAAACAAGGTGAAACGGTTACAGCTGAACGCTATCGACAACAATTGAACAAATTGGCGCATACATTGAACAAAAAACGGCCGTTGGTAGAGAGAAAACACCATCGAGTTTTGTTTCACGACGACAATGCTAAGCCACACCGAGCAGTGCTCGAGCACACATCGTCAAACAAAAGAAAGAGGCGTTCGGTTGGGATCGGCTTGATCACCCCCCGTACTCTCCAGACCTTGCCCCTTCTGACTACCACTTGTTTCGATCAATGCAAATGGGCTTGTCTGAAATATCGTTTCGAAATCCTGAAGGAGTGCGAAAATGGATCGATGAATGGATATATATAGCGTCAAAAGATGAGGAATTCTTTCGACGCGGAATCGACAAGTTACCAAGAAGATGGACGGAAGTCATAGCTAACGATGGGCAATACATTGGTTAAAAAATATTGTACAGTTGTTTTTAAATAAATGTATCTTTTCACACAAAAATCCTTAAAAATTAATTGGCACACCAAATAAAATATTTTGAATTGTTTTAAATCGCTTTGAAATCGTATTACAGAATTAGTATTTTTTTAAATTTACCTAATAGATAATTGAAAACAGAACCCTTTTGCAATGCCATTTTTTTTATTTAACCTTTGTTGTTTGTTGTCATTTTTAAGTACCTTTTTATGATATGTTTATCATTTTCACGTTTTACAATATTTTTGTGCTATAATGTGCGTCACTTCAATCTTGTGTTTTTTTTCTTCAAATAATTCGCTGATTATAAAACAATAAAAAAGATAATTTTTATCCATTTTTCTATAAAATACGTTGTCACCAGCTTTAAAGATTTAAACGAAATAAATATTCCAAGCAAAACAACAAGTTAAATTCGAATATTTTTTTTCACATTTCAATTGTGATTTCATCGAAGTAATTTCATCACAAGATGAAATTCATTATAGGCATATTGTTTGTAGCGGCACTACTAGGAGATGTTCTTACAGTTAACAGAAGCATATATAAAACATGCAATCAAAGTAGCTTTTGCAGGTGAGATTTAAAAAAGGTTTTGATAGCTGGACCAACATGTCACTGTTTCAAAGTGTAGAGAATCATATATGCTTCCAAAATTAATAAATGCAATTTATTATTATAAAACTTTGATTTAAAATTTATTTCTCATTAAATTTATTCATTAAATAAAAAATAAAGACGGTGTCGTAAAGTGACTCCAAATCGTTCACCGTATGAATTGGTGCCGGCCTCATTAAAAACAGACACCGACTCGATTCAAATCGACCTTGTGAATAAAAATAATGGTCATATATTTGTGCTCACACTTGAAGGTGTTCAGGTAAATAAATTCAAACTAATTTTGCATAGATTTCATATTTCATTAAAACTTTCGTTAATTGCTTAAGGGTGATGTTTTTCATGTTACAATTGATGAGAAACTTCCAATTAAAAGAAGATACCGAGTTACTGATGCATTGAAAGGTCCCATTAAACTAGATACGTACGTATAATACGCTTTTTATTCATGTCATCAAAATCTTATTTCGCAAAAATAATCTATTGGTTAAACAGTATCAATGTGATAGAAGTAAATAAAAGCATTGTTGTTACTTGTGGATCGAATAAAGCCGTTCTTCATGCAAGCCCATTTAAAATTGATTTCTATCGAAATGGGATGTGGATTTTGTCGGCAAATGACAAAGGTTTATTCAAATTCGAACATTACCGCAGAAAACCCTATAGGCCAGAGTGAGTATGTTTGCTTTTTTAAAAAATCTTTCTGACTTTTCTCAATTTAATATGATAGACTGTCGAATGATGATACTGATAAGGAATCGGGTGCCTGGGAAGAAGACTTCCTACAACAGAATCTTTACATGCACCATGATTCAAAACCAAATGGACCCGAAGCAGTTGCACTTGATTTCACATTCCCACAGGCTCAAATACTTTTTGGTATGCATTTTAATTGTCATTTATGATGGTGTAATTCAAAACAACTGTTTTTTTTTTTTTTTTTTTTTTTTGAAGGTATTCCCGAGCACGCTGATTCATTTGCACTCAAATCGACTTTGGATGGCGATCCATATCGATTGTATAATTTAGATGTTTCTTATTACGAAGTAGAAAGTAGAATGGCTTTGTACGGTTCGGTTCCGATTATCTATGGACATGGGTAAAAAAAATCATTCACTTTACACTTATTTTACATATCAATTTTTGAACTAATTATAATAATCATCAGAATAAATGGTACAGTTGGTGTTTTTTGGATGAATTCGGCCGAGACATGGGTTGATATTCACAAAAATAACTCATCTTCACATCAAGAACCACTTGCATCACATTTTATGTCTGAAACGGGAATCGTCGACACGTTTATTTTGTTGGGTGAAACTCCACAAAATACATTCAAGCAATATACGGATTTGACCGGCGTTGCTCCATTGCCACAACAAGCTACACTTGGTTTTCATCAAAGTCGATGGAATTACAAGGATGAAAATGATGTTGTTAATGTTAGTTCAAATTTTGATGTTCATGACATACCATTGGATACGGTAAGATTTCAATTGATATTTTTTTGTGCAATTTCAACTGAGTCGCGTTATTAAACAATGTTAACGAAATAATTGAGGTAATTTTTAGATGTGGCTAGATATTGACTATACTAATAACAAACAGTAAGTTCGATTTCATTTCTTAGATTTTTGTATTTGTTAACTATTTTTTTAAATTTTTGCTATAGATACTTTACATGGGATCCAAAACTATTCCCTAATCCCATGAAAATGATCGGAAACTTAACTGAAAAAGGTCGGCATTTGGCAATAATCATTGATCCACATATCAAAGTATCACGAAGTTATAAAATACATAACGATTGCTCGAATCGTGGTTACTATGTAAAAAACAAAAATGGAAATAATTTCAAAGGTTTGTTTAGTATTTGGTCATTTTCATAAGTGTTAACGTGAGAATGTTATAATTGATGACAACAAATTATGAAGTAAAGTGGTCCTTTTAAAATTACAGGTACGTGTTGGCCTGGACAGTCAAGTTATGGTGATTTTTTCAATCCAACCGTTCGCAAATACTTTGCTGATCAGTATCTCATGGAGAATTTCAATACAACAAATGATGTTTTCATTTGGAATGATATGAATGAACCGAGTGTGTTTTCCGGTCCCGAATATACGATGCCAAAAGATAATGTACACACGACCGAATTAGGATCGTTTGAACATCGTGCTGTACACAATTTATACGGTCATATGCAAACAATGTCTACATTCGATGGTTTGTATCGCCGTGGAAATGGTAAATATCGCCCCTTTATTTTAACACGTAGTCATTTTGCGGGTAGTCAACGTTATGCAGCTATTTGGACCGGTGATAATATAGCTGATTGGAGTTATTTAAAGGTTTCATTGAAAACATGTTTAACACAAGCAGTAAGTGGATTTTCATTTTGTGGTTCAGATGTTGGCGGATTCATAAATAATACGAGTGAAGAATTGTTTGAGCGTTGGCATCAAGCAGGTGCATTTCAACCATTTTTCCGTGCTCATGCTTCGAATCACACTAAACGTCGCGAACCATGGCTATTTCCAGAAGCAACAAAACTTGTTGTTCGTGATGCGATCCGTAAGCGATACACATACTTGCCACTTTGGTATGTTTTATTCTACGAACATGAGCGATTTGGTTTGCCAGTGATGCGACCACTTTTAAGTCATTTTCCATATGATCCAGAGGCATTTCCAATCGATAATCAATACTTATTGGGGGACAAACTCTTAGTTCACCCAGTTACGGACAAGGGCGCCAATAAAGTTGATGTTTATTTTCCACATCATAATGCCACTGGCAATGGCGATTTGTGGTACGATATTGATGATTATACCGTGTATAATTCCACTGGATATGTTTCGATTCCGGTAAATCGTTATAAGATACCAGTTTTTCAACGTGGCGGAACGATAGTGCCAAAAAAGGAATATGTACGACAAGCATCTACATTGATGAAAAACGATCCATTCACATTGGTCGTCTGTTTGAATAAATTTAAAGAAGCCAATGGTACACTTTATGCTGATGACGAAAGAAGCTACGAATATCGTAACGGCAAATACATTTATGCGCACATCGAATTTAAGGAGAATATACTGAGCAGCAAATCCATCGATCCAAGTGCAGCATTTGATTCGTTTCTTTCAATTGAACGTGTTGTTATTGCTGGCTTCGATACAGCTCCGAAAACGGCCACATATTCAACCGCATCAAAACGCGTCATACTAGATGTCATTAAGGACAAAAACTCATATACCATCCATAATCCGGGCGTCAACATTGCGGAAGATTGGACAATCGTTTTCAATTCATCATCAAGACATAGCTCATCATTTATAGTTTTATTGTCTTTTATGTTCTTCTACTTTTTCTACTTCAATTTACTATTGTAAAAAAGAAATTAGCAAAGTTCGCTCAGTTACAGATTTACCAGCATTGAAATTGTAATGTTACTAACCATTAACATAAACGTCTGTAATAGTTAATAAAATTATAATAGCTATTAATGTAATGCTAACATCTAACATTACAATTTCAATAGCTAATACCGATAATGTCTTGTTTCAATAACAATGTGTTACCCGTATTGTTAAAAATCTAACATTAATATTGAGACTTTTCAACACAACTTTAAGTTGAAAATATATTTACAATATATGGAATTTGTGTCTGCTCCAAGCTCAGCATTGAAATTGATTTGGTTGATGAGCAATTTCAATGATGAGCTTAGAGCAGACACAGACGCCATCTATTGTAAATATATTTCCAACTTAAAGTTGTATTGAAAAGTCTTATTATTACTCTTAGATTTTTGACATTAGCGGCAGCGTTGAGTAACACATTATTATTGTAACGAAGCATTGCCAGTAATGCAATAGCTATTACTGGTAATGCTAGAATCTAACGTTACAATTGTAATGACCTTACTGTAATGCTTCGTTACAATTGTAATGTGTTACTGCAAAATGTGAATCTGTACGCTCAGTAGCACATTAGCATATAATTCGAATAAATTGAAAATTAAAAAAGTCACTCAAATTTTATGGTTTAAAGTTTGATTTTTATCAATTTTTCAGGAGGATACGATCCACATTGTTCAAAAATAATTATCGAGATCGGCATCATTTTGATTGAGTTTATCAAACTTTTTACAAGCGTTACACATTATCATTGTGATGATTTTTCGAGATTTCGTTTAAATCTCAATTTCGACGTTCGAATGACAAAACATTATAGTTTGTTAGCCAATAGTAAAGCCACAATTTTTTTTCATCCTTACTTTTATTCCATTCGGACTTTTTCTCTCTAGCAAATATGATATGGCAATGAACCATCTCGTTTTTATGATTCGACTCTATCAAAGTTGTAAGCAATGTTACCAAAATTACTTTCGATGAATTTCCGGGATGTATATACATGTACAGGGAAAATTACTTGGGCAGTTTGTTTGCTTGCATTCTTTTAACAGTATCATAACAAATCGAATGGAACCGAGGCTGCTGTCTTTTAAGATGGCAACAATGTGCCCACTTTTATAGCCATGGCAATATTAATAACGGTCGTAACAGAAAATGTGCAAGCATTGAAATGGGGAAGTTCCTTCAAGAAAAAGCTAAATTTGAAAACAATGAGCTATCATCAGGAAGCAAAAAAAGCAACAAACATACAACCAAACACATTCATTCTAACCATTTTTAGTACTGCAGCGATGGTTCTTTATTTTCGTTGCGAAAATCATCATTGTAACATATATATTTTTTTCTTCAAATGTTTCATTTTTATGTTCGGAGCAATGCAGCGCCGTAGTATTGGCTGAGAGACATCAATGGAAAGAAGAATTTATGATAAAGTATTTATCGCAAGCTATCTGCCCTGTTGCTGCTAGTGATAGTTATGCTTCGGTATACTACGATTTTTCATCCAATCAACCATTGTGCACTATTGAGTGGCGTACTTACGTGGTGTAAATACAAAAACCACTTACTAATGTGAAATGATTGGTTTTTAAAATCACATTATAAACAGTGTTTGCAAAAAGCTATTTCCACCAGCGATGGTTTTTTCCTATCTGAATAGCACTAGCTATTCGCAGCGTCTATAAAGCATTGCTGCCCAGGTGCTGAATCGAAGCGGTTGCCGCACGAGCAACACACTTCGTTTGTACCACACAGAGCATATACGTTCGTGTTCTTTCTCTGTTCGACATGCGTTTGTATACTGACTATGGTATTAGTGTATCATATTCTGTGAGCTCACTGGTTACTTAGACTATATGACAATATGTTGTGTGGTACAAAACGCGTGCGGCCACCGCTTCGATTCAGCATTTGGGCAGCAATGCTTTACAGACTCTGCGAATAGCTAGCGCTATTCAGATAGGAAAAAATCATCACTGATTTCCACAATAGAAATATAAAAATATATTTTTTGGCTAAAAACATTTTCCGCCTCAATTGAGCTGTAATGAACAGCAGATATGAATAGCTGCAAGTGAACGATTAGCTCAGAAATTGTGAAGTGTTTTAAAAACTGTAGACAAAGCGGAATTTGAAGAATAATCCAAAAGCTGTTTTTTCGAGATTTTAAATATGCGAACTTTTCCATACGATCATCCAGTTGCTACATTGCCAAGGCACCAAGTGTAGTTACGGAACTGACATAACGTAAACTACATATTTTGTTATTGCATATAATATGAAATATAGTAATGAAGTACTGCAGCATACCAAATATTTATACTATTTCATTTTGATTTTTCTAGTTTCACTTCCACTCTATCTCTCTTTCTATCTCTATAATTTTTCCATTTGAAAAGAAGTAAAAAGTATTTCATATCACTCGAAGAATGAACAACCAGGGAATTTGGAAAAAGCAAAAAAAAAAAACTATGTAACTCGTTACGAAACTGACTAGCTGCATTCATACTTCAAATGAAATAAATGTGTGCAGACGCACATGAATTCTTTGTAAGATAAAATGAAGAGAGAAAAAGAATTACTGGCAAGAAAAACGATGTGATGTCAATGCATGTGTTTAGCGTTTGGTATGTGCCTGCATTCGCTTCGAATTTTCCTCTTTCTTTCACTTTATATTTTGAAAAATGTTATGTGATTACCAGAGCCGCATCGTATCATTATCGCATCAAGTGTAAAAAAGATGCTGCTCGCACTCAAAACACACACACATAAACTCACATAAACGCATTCAAAATGCTGATAAGGAGTCACAAAAACCTATTAAATAAATCACATTCCATTATTGTTATGATTATATATATTCGTTTATTTACAATATAACACAGAGCATTATGCGTGTACAATCATTGCAAGCCATCATCATCACCCTAATAACAGACTCAATTGAACTTTGTTGTGTACACACGCATGCACGCATATCGTACATAATATTATATGGTAGACAGACAACTAACAATTACTTTTGCTGGTTCATTGTTCGTTAACATCGAAAATAAAATGGGCCCTAGTCTGGAACCGGCTAAAAATAAGCGGATTGAAGCATTTATGTGCACAAATTGCAATCAAGTATAGTTTTGGTTGTTCCCTTTTTTGAGTTCATCGGCAATTATTACTAAATGTGGCAAAAGAGAATATCCGTGTGCGAAAAGTGGCAAATATATCCGAAAAATGGATCAAACGGATGTACGAGAGCGGAAAATCCAAACTGAAAGACTCTTGAAAATAAGTAACTGGTTCTTTGCTTAATAGATCTATGTACGAGCATCATTCATACATTTTCTCATTTTGATGATTTTTGTGTTTAAAACCATGAACTTTTAAATTGCAATAAAACATTTATCAACCAAAATGATTTTGATATGCTACAAATGAAGATGAAGCACTCTCAATGTAGAAAGTTACAACCAGTTAGCCATTGATACGTTAAAAATGGGTTTATTCGGCGTGACTAAAATGCTTGGGAGCTTGGGATTCTGTTTAGCATGCTTTCGGTTGGCGCTTATGTTGTCTTTGCTCGACATATTCAATCGCCATTTCATTTTTTACTTCCATATAATTTCAATTATAACCCTGATCGTAACGCTCACATTACAAAAGTAGCCATAACACAAACTAGTATGATCATAATTTATTTCGATGAGTCCAAGGACACTATCCATCAGATTGCGTACGGTCGCATTCTCTATCTCAAGCAAGAATTCGGAATAACATTTTTATTGCCACAGACTCTTTTGCCACAGACTCTTTTGCCACAGATTACTATAATAGAGAAATAATAGCCCGCCCATTTGTAAAAGTGTAATTAATGTGATTTCGTAGAATGAATTTATTCTTCTTTCTGCGATCAAATCACTCACTTACAATGGAAAAAGAAAATTAGCCAAATAAATTTGGATATTCACTGCTTCTGTTGAATGCAAAGAAAAATATCATACAAATTCTGAGTTGGGTTGAATTGTTTTTGGTCACTTCGTGCATTCTCTGCTTAATATCTTTTTAAATCTGTTTAAATTGGTGAATCTTAGTATAAAAAAAGACGGACATTTAATGCGACAAGAGAGAATAAAGAACGAGAGAGTGCTTTCTATTGTAATACTTTTTCATGCGCTTTTTTCCACCCAAAGATACCAACGATTGTTGTAATACCGTTCGATGTGTCAAACACACAATGCCAAGGTAAAAGCATGCAAAAATCAGATGGATAACTACAAGAGAGAAAAAAGACAAACAAAGGTTGTTGTGCGTCGTTCATTTGTTTTGAGCATTTTCTGTTGTATTTTGGGGATGAAAAAATGTCCAAGACATGAAATTCCGTAAGGCTATGGTTTGTTCTTATCACCTCAATCTTATAAATAAGAACTTATCTGATATGTCAATGATCTAATGCCTTTCGACTTTGTGCATTGGTTTTTCTTTTGTTGAACCGTTTTCCCGTCTTTGTCCAAATCTAACAATCAAGTGATTCAGCGACTTTTTTTATTGTGATTAAAGTTCTATGGCCTGATGTTTTATCGGCCGTTGTCTTTTCCATGGGAATTTTCACATTATTCATTGCAACGCCTGCAAAATACATGTTTGAATCAATATTTGAAAGAAGAAGATGCAAAACGATAAAAAAATTGCAACGAACCACTTAATAATATTTTATGCGTCGCTTTTTCATTGGAAAATGAAAAACACCCTTTTAAGTATTTGCATATTATGAATGGAGGATTTTTTGGGAGCTTTTGTCAAAAATAAAAAGGAAAAGTGCGCACACACACACACACACACACACAAAACACTGAATTAACGTAAAACGAGAATGAATGTTTGAAAAAATCCGGTAAGGAATATGGCCTGGCTGAAATGTGAGAGTTTATCGAATGTGAAGGGTATGTGCGATTCTACCACAAAGTATCATTAATATTTTAGACATTTACTTTCGATGAAAACTTCTTAGTCAGGGTGGATAGGTCATTGGACCATCTGTTCCATGAATATCAGTATGGGTATTAGCAATTGTCATTTGGATTGGCAGTTGGCGTATCAAATAATCGATTAAGTATTGAGCTGAGGATTTGCTTGTTGCTGCTCTTAAACTGGATTTCACCAGGGACCGGTTCGTGCATATTTCTATGCCTGATAGCTATGCTAAGCATAGCGGAGACGCAAGCTGCAACGCACCCGTCGCCATTCGATTCGAGCTATATTGTATGCGTACGTCTCTCAATGCACGGTCGCCTGCATACATGTTCGTTGTATTGTTCATATAGAGTGAACGGCGATGCGTCGGTTGCGTTTGCGGCTATGCTTGGCATATCTATGCTACCTAGCGTATTTAGGCAAGCATAGAAATATGCGCGAACCGGTCCCAGGATTTCACTGTTCTTTACGTTCAGCGTTGATTTTATTATTATTAGAGAGCAAAAACATGACAGCAGTTTAACGGTTCAACTCTTGTGATAATGTTGAGAAATGTAAACAATATTAATGTTATAAATGAAAACAAACAACGGCCCGTTGTTCTCGTCATTACTATTGCACGTACGCACTCAACCCATCCATAAACAATATCACATG